GAGTATAAGGAATATTGCGACAAGTTGAAATTCACGTGAGTGCAAATCAGCTAGTTCAATGCCAAAAGTAATAATAAACGACGACGGCAAAAACAAGACAATAATAATGATAATGATAATAATAATGATAATAATTTGTTCTCACGATCACGATATCAAACTCAAAGAGCTCAATCACCAAGCGCATAGAGGCTTTTTTGCATGATGCACTATACAAATCCAGCTATTATTATCACAATATCACCATCATCATTACTGTTATTATTACAATTTGCTGATTAATTTAGTTAACCGATTAACCTTTTTTTTTCCATTCAGGGACTTTACCTTGTTTATCACCCAGTTGAGCTTTCTGTTTGGTACGCATCGTCCCTCTTAGTCCTGGGTCTTCTTGGCTACTACATTTTCCGTGCAACCAACTGCCAAAAGGATCATTTCAGGAACACGTCAGGCGACTGCAAGATCTGGGGAGCCAAACCGAAGGTTATTGAGTGTTCGTACTACGCTGCTGACGGAGAGAAACGCCAGAGCAAACTACTCCTTTCTGGTTGGTGGGGAATCGCTAGACACATGAACTACACCGGAGACCTAATGCAGGCCCTAGCATGTTGCTTAACGGGAGGATTTACACATATATTCCCGTATTTCTATATCATCTACATGACGATCCTGTTGGTGAATCGCTGCTACAGGGATGAACATCGGTGTAGTATGAAGTACGGACTTGATTGGAAGCGGTATACGTCGATAGTTCAGCATAGAATTATACCTGGTATATTCTAACTACTTTAAAGATACAGTGTTGATGATAAGGAACGCACATTAAAAGTGTTCTATCGCGTGAATGGGCATGTTCATTTCAATTTTTTGTGGAACATTTAAATTTAATTTCAAGTGTTGAGCTCATATGCCTCCACTTTATCAAGGCAGATATATAATTTCATGAGACGTTTCACTGTATATTAGTAGGCATGCTAATTGAACGAAATTAGATGATTCCTATCGAGAGGTAGATGGAGTAATGTTCTTACTGGTGCAATTGTGTGTATTGACCTCAACTCTTGCCATATTTGCAATAATGTAAGAGGCTGAAACATTTCGAAGTATAAATGAAATAGTGGAGCTGTAGCTTAGTGGGTAATGTGTTTACCTTCCAATTAGTGTCCTAGGTTCAATTCCTGTCAATGTTACAAGATTGTTTCTTTTCATGATCAAAAAAATTCTCGTGTGTTTTGTGAAAAAGGACCGAAACCTAGAAACGTCAAGTTCGCATATCCTTGACTGTTGTAACTAGAAACAAAATATGATGATGTTGATGATGATGATGATGATGATAATAATAATAATAATAATAATAATAATAATAATAATATTTACAATAATAATAATAATAACCTATGGTTAATTCTAATTATTTATACATACAGAAACCACTCTTAACACACATTAATACATATGACTGCATAAGTTTAACTGAATAGTTTCTCATAACCAAAACAAAATATGATGGTGCTGATAATAATATTATTATTATTATTATTATTATTATTATTATTATTAATAATAATAATAATAATAATAATAATAATAATAATAATTATAATAATAATAATAACCTATGGTAGTTTACTGTTACATAATTTCTAATTATTAATATTATACAAAAAATACTCATATTACACATATTAATACTTAAACCTGCATAAGTATAACTGAATAGTTTATTGACGGATTTATTACAAATCTATACGTTTGAACTTTTCAAGAGTACCTCGTGTCTTTGTGTTGTATCGATATTCTGACATTGTAATCTACTGTATTTACTTCAAATTATTCGTTCCGGTGTTCACAATACTAGTATCTAGTGTCTTTGATAATACTTACGCGAAGGTCTTTTATTAAGGATATAACTTAGATGGTTTCTCAATATGACGTGTGGGCATTTCTTTGTTACCGTTGATAAAGGTATGAAACACGACCTGTTTAAGCACTCACTGTGTCATGGCGATCGTGGGCCGACACGATTCCATCGAGAACGTAACGCCACAACGCAAATGTATAAAGTCCGTGATGAACAACATAAATTTTGTATCAATAAGTTTTCAATTTTCAATAACGTCAAGGATCTAACAAGTTGTTGTCACATATGCTGTATACTCTTTTCCTACAACAATCCTAAGCTGACTACTAGCTAACTTAAAATGTTACCGAATCTGAATAAATAAATAAATATTCAAATTTAGTTGGTAATGAACATTATTTTCTAACGCAATAATTGAAAGCGAATTACCTAAACCTGACTAAAATTTATAAGCAATTGGAATTTGTTGTTAAAGTTTTTTTTTTCTTTTTAGCGCGACATAAATGTAATTACCTTAAAGTATGATCAAGTAATAGATTTTTCCGGAGTGTCATTGAAACTTAAAACAACTAGCCAAGAATACGCGCATGTCCCACAAACACTCACCGCGTACGTTTACGTTTTCGTATTGTGGAACCTTATCACAAAGGGGTGAAAATTAACTGCCACACCATCATGATCATTATGTTTCTTCCAGTCTGTTTAGTCCTATCTAGGCAACTTGGTGACGTCACCTGGAATGAGTGCCCATCGTCAGTTCATAGGAACTAGACTACCGATCTTGTACATTATGGTACATTTTGTCTGTATTTATTAAACGTCTGTACGTATATTAACTATCTATGTTTTACTTTTCACAATTGTCATAATTTAATTTTAATTTGAGTTCCATATCATTATATATTTATTGTAGTCTTTTCGAGAAGTACAGTATTTATATTAAAATTAAAATTATCGTATTAAACACCCAACCATTTCAATTTTCGATGTACATGATTACTGTATAATATTGATGTTTTCATTTTTTAGCATTCATATTTAATAGGGCCTATCAATGTATAATATTTGATAACGGCTTTCCGCACTAAACTTTACAACGGATGGTATCAGCACTAAATATTTGTTGGAATGAACTGTATAATTGAATTATTGATGAAAAATCTGTTGTGTTGTCATGATATTTTTTTGGTTTATTATCAGCATAATATTGTTGGAACACATTTGTTGAGACTGAAACATTGAAATTATTATACGCAATAACGTGACCAGTAAATAAAAGTAAATAATAAGGATGTAGCATATTGTGATGTTGTTACAAACTTCTCGTTTTGAGGGTTCTGCGTATCCTCTGTTAATTCCATAGTCCCTCGCCTTCCACCTAATCTAAGGTTCCCAAGGAAGGACTAGTGTTGTCCAAATTTGGTTACACCTGGTTGTTTACTTACACTTACATTTCAGCAATGCTTATCAATTTTGTACCATTTATCGTTATACATAATATACGCCCGCTCCCCGAAACACTCGTGGCCTCTAAATGTAAACAAATCCAACGGAAGAAATATCATTTTCAAAACAATATAATAATATTATACTCCAGTAGAATTACAGTTTTTCTAACCTTGTTGGGATCAGTAAGTCTTTATGATCACGAAATAACATACCTATTTTGACGGTAATTTAATGTGTTGTAGTTCCACATTTACATTGAAATTAAGGGGTTTTTTTAGTATATACGGTACGTATCCATTTTACACCCCAAAAAATAAATAATCGCCTCCCTCAAATAAACGCCCCCTCTTTCTTATAAACCCTAAAAAATAAACGCACAAGCGTAACTTATTTCAATTTATATTTCTCTGTGTACATGTAAATATTTTATTTATTTTTTTTCAAATTCTTTCATTACATTATTTGCTCCTGTTACGGTCATTCGCTTTTTGCTCTTGTCGCATTATATTTTGTAATACGACTGCCAATTATTACAATACATTCTGTAAGCTTATCATGAAATTGCTTGGGTCAAAGTACTACTCTATCAGCTGATTAAAAGGAGCGCATGAGTTGGTAATACAAAAGGAGTTAATAACGTTTGAGTTGAGAAATATTATTTACGCAATAACACAGTACTCGTTCAACTATTGAGTGTTGGTTGGTTCATTGCCGAGTATTACAATGACGGGCATGCAAGGCACACGGAGGCAGGATCCGTCGAACGCCGCTACAAATGGCATTACCTTAATGGGAGACGGGAATGTAGGTCAGATGAAAACGGTTGCAGACGATAGAAAACCCGGGGAGTGGGGAAGAGCCTGGTAAGTACAAATGTATTATCTAAAGCGCAAATGCTTAATATTGGTGTTCAACGCTTTTTGTATGTTTCTGCAATTAGCATTGTTCGTATCGTCTGGCCGGTTATATCCATCAGTGCGTGTCCCAAGGCCTCATTGGATTTGTTGTAATAAAGACTGTATTCTAAACATAATTTAATACGCCGCAATCGTTTAGAACTGAATAGCCATGTTTTTAACCAAACAGACACGTCGATATAACGCACAAAGAGCTCATCATAGGAGGCCTAGGTATATGAGTAGCGTGTTTAACTACCCATTTCACATATATTGAATTTGCAACCAACCATACACAAGTCAATACAAATGATAAAAGCCGAGTTGTGACAGTGTAACATCCATTGACTTTTAAATGCCCAATGTTTACGTACGGCAGCATAGCAAATGCACATAGCCCTAAAGGTCTATACTTTTTTGAATTTATATTTAAGTTTAGATATAGGCCTCTTACGCCTAAATATGGCGTACTTATTATTATAGCTAGGCCTATCTGTTTTTGTGTAGGTCTATCATTATTGGTATAAGCCCTATTGACAAATGATAAAATGACAAAACGCGATTTAGGGCACCTAGAAAAAATTATTAGATCATCACTCTTTACAAAAAAAAAAAAATATGAGTGAGGGCGGCTATTTTTTATTTATTTTTTAATCGGAACAATAGATTATTTCGCGTTTGTTTTTATCGATGAGAGAGGGACTGTATATATTTGGCTAGTAATAAATATTGTATAAAAACTGGTTTAATTTTATAGTATTTTTTAAAGAAAATGTATTTAAAGTCACAAATTGCATTGTTATTTTTATGCTATTGAAATAATTGATGCGGCAAATTTTTTTTTGTTTTTGTTTTTTAATTTCCTTATTAATATTTCCCGAAATTTTGACGCGGGCGGGAGTGATAATCTAATACATTTTTCTATTTGCCCTTAAGATGTATGGGCTTAAGCAAAGCATATAAATGTTTTAATTTCCAAATTAGTCTTAAAATTAAGCCAAGGAATCACTGTCTTTTTAAGTATAACAAGGTTGAAAAGCGATGTTATTGTATTCCGAAGGTTAAAATTGTAAACCATGATTAGTGAAATCAACCGCATGATGTCTATGAGCGTGTGTCTATATACATAGTAGTATATGCTGCGCCGGAACATATATTAATAAAAACAAAGAGCTCCGTGATATAGAAACAGTAATGAAATTGTTCACGAATATATATATATATATATATATATATATATATATATGCTTATATG